GTCCCGACCACACCGGGGCCGTTTCAACCTCACCGGGGCCGTCCCTACCTCACGGGGGCCGTTTCAACCTCACCGGGGCTGTCCCTACCTCACGGGGGCCGTTTCAACGTCACAGGGGCTGTCCCGACCTCACGGGGGCCGTTTCAACCTCACCGGGGCCGTCCCTACCTCACCGGGGCCGTTTCAACCTCACCGGGGCTGTCCCGACCTCACCGGGGCCATCCCAGCCTTACCGGGGAAACAGAAAGTTTGGCCCTCTGTCCCCTGCCGGCGGCTCCCCACCAGACAAAATCTCCAGGCGTTCCTGGTGGCTGAACATCCAGCACTCCTGCCCTCCACCAAGTGCACAGACTGCCTGTCTGCTGTCCCCCAGCGCCCCACGAGAGACTGGAACCAGTGGGCATGTTTGTGTGCTTGCTGGTACAGCGGTTCCACAGTGCCAGCCCAGTCAGGCCCAGCCCCGGCCTGCCCTGGACCCGACTCCGCCCCCCGATTGCATCCCTCCCAGATGCAAGGAGCTGAAATCTGCAGCCTGCTGGGATGGGCTCTGTACTTGGTGCCTCTGCACATCCTACTCAGTCTCAATGCGCTTCTTTCTATGCAAGGAGTTGAAATCTGCAGTTTGTTGGGTTGGGTTCTGTACTTGGTGTCTCTGCACATCCTACTCAGTCTCAATGTTCTTTCTCTCCTTCCAGTTGTAGAGCTTCCACTGGGCCAACTTTCCCAGGGTTCTGTATGATAGGTGTTTGTCTGATATTTGGTAGTTTCGATGTTGTTGTGTGAGGTAGCACGCACAGGTCTCTTCCGTATGCCGCCATCCTGGTTCTCCTGGGTCTGCTTCTTGAGTGTGTCTCCCATGGCTGTGAGCAGTTGAAGTCTGCAATTTGTTGGGATAGGCTGCAAAAGCGCAGGTGGGTCTTTTTGTGCACCTGGCACAGCTTGGATGGGGATGTAAATTGATTAGGGCTGAGACTCATGGAGTCGCCATAGCGGAGCAAATAGCACTGGCTGAGTCTCCGCGGCCCCTTGAATCTCTGCCAGGGCTTTGTGTCCCCCAGTGCCGGCGAGCAGCTGTGCAACAGAGTCTCCCTCGCTTTCTGATGGCTGCAAGGCCGTGCTGCCTCTCCCCGTAGGGTCTGGTGCCTCATGATCCCGCCTGAACCAACTCAGCGGATTTGAAAATTTGCAGAAGCAAAGGCGTTTCTACTTGTGAGTCTGGCACAGCCCAGATGGGAATGTAAATTGCGTAGGGCGGGGTCACAGGGAGTCGCCGTGTGGAGACTCAGCGGCCCCTTGCCTATCCAGGACACCAGGACTTTGCGTCCCCCAGTGCCGGCGAGCAGCCGAGCGCCAGAGCCTCCCTCGCTTTCTGACCGCTGGAAGGCCGTGCTGTCTCTCGCCTTGGGGCCTGGGGCCTCAGAGACCCTCCCGAACCAGCTCAGTGGATTTGAGAGTTTGTAAAAGCACAGTCATTCCCTCTTGTGCCTCTGGCACAGCCCGGATGATAGGGCGGGGTCTAAGGGAGTCGCCAGCGCGGAGGAAATAGCGATGGCGGAGTCTCCGCGCCCCTCGCCTCCCCGGGACACCAGGACTTCTTGTCCCTCAGTGCCGGCGAGCAGCCGCGCGTCAGAGCTTCCCTCGCTCTCCGACCACTGCAAGGCCGTGGCCGCCTCTTCCTGTGGGATCTGGGGCCTCAGAGACCCGCCCCGAGCAAGCCCAGAGGATTCGAGGGTTCGTAACCGCTTCTGATTGAAAAAAACCGCGAATCCATTTGCAGCCCGCCTGACGTGTGACTGCGTACCTCTGGTTTTGGTGCCTCCGTAGCTCCCACTCAGTCTCACTACGCTTCTTTCTTTTCTTCCAGTTGTAGATCTCCCACTGGGCCAACTTCCCCATGGTTCTGAGTGATGGTTGTTTACCTCATAGTTGATAGTTTCAATGATGCTGTGAGAGAGCAGCACGCACAGGTCCACTCCCTACGCCGCCATCTTGGTTCTCCCAGTCTTCTTGATTTTAATTTGCCTCGCCCTTTGTAGCTGCTTTGCTCAGGTCTGGATTCTTGTGTTCCCCACCTGATGATTGAAGACCTGCTCCAAAACCTAATGGAGGCATAATGCTGCCACCTATCAGATTTCAAATATGCCAACACCTGGTCTCCCTCTATTCCGTCAAGGCTCTTTGAATGCCCTTGGTGTACCTAGGATTCATTTAAGCAGCTTATCCCCCAGCTAAAGTCTCAGAATGGGATGAGTTCTCTTAGCTCTGGTCCTATCCAGGCTTCATGGTATCCCTTTTTCTCCTAACCATTGCCAAGGTGTGACTTACACCATGTAAAGAGCCAGTCCAAGCTTGAATAGTACCTGAATGAGAGAGATCTGTTAGTCCTGCTCTGGGGAGTCCTCTACAGTAGGCAAATATCACTTAATTTCAGAAGTGTTAGAGACAGACTGCAATGTGTCTGCAGATATGAACCAGGTTGATAAAAATGTTCGAAAACATGACAAGTGAGAAGCAGTTGAGTGAAACTGGGAAAGAAAAGAAATGGAAAGAAAAGAAATGGAAAGGAAAGGAAAGGAAAGGAAAGGAAAGGAAAGGAAAGGAAAGGGATTTAATAAAAAAAAAGTTAAAAAAAAGAAAAGGAAAGAAAAGAAAAGAGAAAGGAGATGAGAATAATGATAAATATAAAAAGGAGGCCAGGAGGAAGATGGATGTGATTTAGAAAGGGCTAACAAGGAATTTCTAAGATACTGGCAATATTCTGTTTCATAATCTGAGTAGTTAGTAATGGCTTTCATTTTATATATTTTTTTGAAAATTTACATTTATGATTTATAGATGCTTTTGTGTATCTCTATATATAAAAGGCTAATATGCAAAGTGACTCTTGGGAGTTCGACACCAATGATGGGAGTTAGATCGCTCACTATGACATGTGCTGACCACCAGGGGGTGGCACGGAATGAAGAAAGGCACCAGCTAGCAACTGGTGAAGGAAGGCCCTGGGAAGCCCAAAGGCCCTGTTCGGCTCTGATCACTGGCCAGGCCTAAGGACCCTACCAGTGCACATATGTCATGTACCGGGCCTCCAGTACAATAATAAAAGTAAAGGACTTCTAGTCAAGATGGTGGCATAGGTAAATGTGGTACCCAATCCTCCCATGATCACATCAAAATTACAACTGAACTAAAATTACAGAACAACCATCATTCTGAAATCTAGCTGACTGGAAATCATATAACTAAGGAATTTAAGAAGCCTCATTGAGACTGGTAGGAGGGGCGGAGACACAGAACACATGTGTGGTGGATAATAATCAGGAGGGATATCTTGGTTGTGAAGCTCCCCCCCCCCCCCCCCCACTTGAGGAGTGAGTGGTCATAGCTCCACATCAGGCCTCCTGAAACAGAGTTCCAGTACCAGGGAGAGAAGTCCCCATAACTTCTGGCTGTAAGAACTTGTGGGGATTGTGGCTGCATGTGTCCATTTGGGCATAAGTCACATTTTAAATGTATATGTGGCTATGTTATTGGACAGCACAGAATACAGAACATTTCCATCATCACAGACAGTTGTATTGGACAGTATTGACCTAAGTAGATCAGGGCTGCGTATTTTACACTCCTGAAGTATCTTGTGCTTTTCTTTTAGAGCACTTATCAAAGTTAATAATGAATTAATGTCTGTCTTCCATACTAAATTATTGGCCCCATGAAGACAAGAACTGTGTCTATTTCACTTACTGGTGTATGTCCAGTGCCTAATATAGTACATGGCAAGTAATGGACCCTAAATAGATATGTGACAAAGGACAAATAAATGAAGTTATATTCTAAACAAAAACTCTAGTCCATGGAATTTGGGGTTCAGACTAGAAATATCATCAGTAGGATTGGGCATAAGCAAATACTTTTGCATTCAAATTTCAGATCACTTTCTCTCTTTCTGACTATTTCATTATCTTTCCTGTAATGAAGAGGACAAAAGTATCTAGCTACTAAGATTTGGGGACCTGGTACTTTGATAATATTACTAAAAGGATGATGTTCAACATATAATCATTTCACAATATATGTAAATCAAACCATCCTGTTGTACACCTTTAACTTATATAGTGATGTATGTCCATTATTTTGATTAAAAAAACTGGAAATAAAACCATTTTATGTTGTTCTTCCTAGTCATGATCCATTTAAACATGTTGGTATTACTTATAACCAAAAAGATATTCTTATAACAAGTGAAAAATACTTAATGTCACTTTTTTAGAATCAGGATCATTCATTTTTTATTTTGCATTGAAAGATGAGAGAGAGGTTAAAGAGTGCAATTTTATTCTTTTATAAATTATGCAATAACATCCTTTAAAAAGAATAAGGAGCCCTCCTGGCACAGAAAGAGAATAATTAAAAGACTCTTGATTAAAAATAAAATCAAAATAATCAATTAAATTATAGCTATCATGGTTAGCAATGGATTACATGTAAAGTTTGATAATACTAGAAATATTGGTACTTGGTAATCATAATAGAGGGTGGAAACATTAACAGCAGGTAAATATTGTTGCCCTAGGCTGTCTGGAGCAGTGCTCTGATAGATGTGTTTTCACTGGGATTTAACCTTAGTTAATACGTCCACATCAGCTTTGTCTGCTTCTGCAAGGCGTTTTTCATGGCTCTCAACCAGGACATTGTCTTCCCTTCTTAGAGACCTCCTGGAAACATCCTTGGGAACCATAGCACCTGCCATGGTCACTTCCTCCAGCAACTTCCGTAGCCACTCCTGCCTTTCCTTCTTGGTCAGATGTTGACGCCGGTCATGCATAAGCTGTATTTCACCCACAGTTTTCCTCCTGTCCGGAACAGAAACAGAGCAGCCACTCCATTAGCGCTCCTCTTCCCATCATAATGGCAGCCCTAAAAATCCAGTCTCCAAGTCCTAGCCATGCAGAACAAGAAACAGTACTTACTGCAGGGTTTTCCCATCTGATTTTGCGAAAAAACAAATTGCAAACAGGAAGATCATTACTTTAACCATGTCTTTTGCAGACATCATCTTCACTAAAAAGGAAGAGCAAAAGGCAGGTATTTGAAAAATGTTTTTACTATTCCACACTATATAATTAAATTTAGCAGTTTACATTTATAACTACACAACTGAACACAGAGTGGTACAGCAACTAATTGCATTGGTTTTCATGGAGGACTTTTGGAATGAGCCTCTTTATTTTTTGTTTTTAAATATATTTTTATTGATTTCAGAAAGAAAGGGAGTGGAAGAGAGAGATAGAGACATCAATGATGAGAGAGAATCATTGATAGGTTGCCTCCTGAATGCCTTCTACTGGGTGTTGAGCCCGCAACCTAGGCCTGTGTCTTTAACTGCATTCAAACCCAGGACCCTTTGGTCTGCAGGCCGACATCTATCCACTGAGCCAAACAGGTAGGGCCAACCTCTTTATTTTACAGATACATTAGTATGTATCATATGTACACATAATTTGACTTAGAAATTAGATTAGTTTTAGTTTCTAGGTAAATTAGTTTTATTTTTTAGGGATCTTTTTGAGAGTTCTTGTGCAAGTTTTAATATATGAATTTTAAGCCACATGAGGAATGAAAATGCTTACTTTTTAGAAATTTCTCCTACATTTATGCTGCTTATGACTAAGTTCTTATAATTTGTTTGGAAAATGGATAATTCTCTTACTTAGGTAAATTATTAACACTGTTTATTTACTTAGAAAATTTCTTTTTCATAAGTCAACCTCATTTCAGTCACTGCAATAATAACCATAAGTACCAAATTAATAGTCTGTGATTTAGAGATATTTTTACTAAATTAGTGCATACTTCTATCATTTAAAAATGTGTCAAAGTATTATTAAAAATCATCTAGTTAATTATAAGAATTTAGAGTTTTGGCTTTATATAAAAAGCTTGTTTCTTTTTTCTTCAGCTTTTCTTAAAACTATCTTGTCTGAGTATAATTTTTAGCACTTTCCTCTTTTGTTCATGAAGCTTTTCATCTCAAAATAGACTAGTCTTATCTTAATCTGCACTTCAGTAATTGCAAACCCTATTGTTATAGAAGTGCTTTTTTTTAATGATTAATGTTCTCTTTTAACATACACATAGAGTCACTATGCACTCATATTTTAAAGGGAAATGGCTTTATTTTTGAAGTGGTGGCATCATATTGAAGTAGTATAAGAAATAGAGCAATATGAGGAGGCGTGATCAACCCAGGAGCCAGAGAAGCCCGCAGGGAGCTGCACCCCCGTGTCCTGGTCTGACCTCCCTCCACCATCACCATCATGCCCAAGAGGCAGGCTGAAGGGGATGCTAAAGGAGATAAAGCCAAGGTGAAGGAGAAACCATGGAGAAGATCTGCCAGGTTATCAGCTAAACCTGCTCCTCCAAAGCCAGAGCCCAAGCCTAAAAAGGCCCCTGCAAAGAAGGGAGAGAAGGTACCTAAAGGGAAAAGGGAAAGCTGATGCAGGCAAAGGTGGGAATAGCCCCGCAGAAAATGGAGATGCCAAGCAGACCAGGCACAGAAAGCTGAAGGTGAACTGTGTGCATTTTTGATAGCTATGTATTTCTGGTGACTGTACAGTTTGAAATACTATTTTTTACCAAGTTTTATAAAAATGCAGAATTCTCTTTTACTTTTAAGCTATGTTGTTAGCACACAGAACACTTCATTGTTATTTTGGGGGAAGGACATATAGTACTACTAGAATGTCTCCAAAGCTGGACTGACATGGGGGGAAATACCTTTCCCTTCTAGTTTTGAGTAACTTCCTCTTGGTTCCTGGGAGCAGGGATCTCTTGATGTTGACACACATTAGCCATCTTGGCACAAACACCTTGTCGTGTGGGAAACTAAAATTCGTTTTTCTGTCCTTTTCTCCCTCTCCACTTTAGCATAGACTTTGGCTCTCTTAAGCCCAGAGACCTATTGGGACCTGACCCAAAAACGTTGATTTCCAGTCGGTTGGGCAATCTGAGCTTTCCAGTGTCACCACTTATGGCCTCCCTCAAAAGAGCAGCAGTTCCTTTTTAGATTGTGGATCTACAGATCGATGTTCTCTGCCATTTTCATTTCATTTCCTGAAAGTTAGGGTCAGCTTGTGAAAAGTTGTTACACAACATGCTCAATGTGAAATGGCAACCCTCACTCTAAACTTTCCCTATTCAGAGCATCAGATGAAGACTTCACTGGGTTTTGTGGTGGCTTTCTGATATTGGTAGCTCATTGAAGAAGGGAGTTTGAAAGCTGTTGTATACTCTTAATGATTATCTGCCCATATCCTGCCTGAAATACCATGATTGTTTGTGAAAAGTATCTTCAATAAAGCTGGAATCAGTTTGGAAAAAAAAAGTCATTGTAAGAAATATAATCTACTACATTTATTTTCACTGTGCGATATAAAGCTTCCCTGTGCAATATAAAGCTATTGATGGAGCAACAAATACATATACTTTGATTTGGGTTTATGTTATTTTTAAAAAGGCACTGTAGCTAGAAGACGGGAGCATTGGTGTCTAATCTTACCTCTATCACATTCACCTAGTGATTTTAGACATCTCTGCTTTGTTTCCTATTCCTAATAGAGACAAGCTTCTTACAAGAATGTCATGAAAAAGCTGAAAATCAGCTTTTTACAGTTCATGTAGAGTTTTCAGAATAGAAAGTGAAAAAAAGCTTTATTAAAGGGAATATTCAGTAGTAAAACTGTTTCTCCAGCTCTTGTATACAACTTGAGTTCTCTGTGAGTCATAAAACAGTTTGATAAGGGTATTCTGCAGGAAAAATAGACTACTAACACAATTTGATAAATGTATATTGGTTATTTAAATCAGAATGTTTTATTCCTCATTAGTCTGCTTTATTTGAAAATTTCAGTAAGATACCATTAAAGCATATGAGGCCAAATTATAATTTTTTGTGTGTAATTTCAGATAGATTTAGAAAAAGCAAGGCTCCTCAAAAGACTTTCATCACAAAAATAAATGATTTCAGAGTATTTTAGAAACATACTTTTATTTTGTGTTGTGAAATTTTGTATTAAACACTAGTGACCCCGTGCAGGAAATTTGTGCACATTTAAAGCGAATTAATTAGAGGAAATATTTTAATATTGCTATTTTTTCTTTCAGTCGTGACATTACGGTGTCCTGGCTAATTTCCATATTCCTCTATTATATAGATAGAACTCGCCTTTCACATTGTAACTTGAACAAACAGCATTTTATTTGTAGGAAATGATGCACATGAAATAATACCTAGATTATAAAAAATAGTTTATATGAGATTTAAAACATAAAGTAAAGATTACTCACCACACAATGTCTTAGGACAATATCTTTCAGGTATATTAGCAGCTGGTGCTCTCTTAAAGTTGAGTAAACTAGAGAAAGCTGATGAATTGGATGGTAGATGCTTCAGTGTGACTTATATGTAGGTCTTCCTCTCAGCAAAAGAAGCTTTTATGTTGTTACAGATGATATCACTCCCAATTCTCTGGATCACAAGTATAGGACAGAACAACAGACAACCCGATTGGATGATGCCCATTCCTCTTAAGATTTAGATCATTATATATTAACAGTAACACAGTATGGGGCTGGGAAAAAGAATTATGCAAAGATTTCTAACAAATATTGAATTGCAATTCTGAATTCTGACTGGGTTAATGAATTTGTATTATTAAAAAGACTGATTTTTTTCATTACTTAAAGAATACTTTATTAGTTTTTGTAATCAAACCCATGTAGATTAAGACCTTACATGTTTAATACAGCGAGTTACCCCTGTACAAATGGAAAAAATTATCTTTAACGTTTCTAGACCAATATGGCTGTTAATTTCTGTTCAATGCCAACCCAACACAGTACAACTGGGATAGTTTTGCCAAAGTTGACAGCACAGCTAAAGTTTCCAAAAATTCAAATTATATATGTATGTATGTGTATATTTATATTTATATTTAATTTATATTTATATAAAAAGACCAATAGCAGTATGTTATGCATCAATAGCAGCAACAGCTTTTCCAGGTTCTGTAGTCATCTGAACAAAATTATAGACATCTAGCACACTCCAATAATAATAAAAAAAAAGAAGTAAAAAATAAATCTCCAGAAAACAGCAAAGTTCTGTTACTGTTGTGGTTCCTGGCACCATTTTTTTTAAGCTTCTCCATCATCATCTGGAAAGAAAACATTCTAGGATAACATCATTAAAAACAGCTCTGATAAAGTACGGTCACTACTACGTATCATAAGGCAGGTACAAGGTATTTTCCATTCACAGAGGTATGATACCGTACTGCCCTACGTCTATAATACTAGAGATACAATTAAAAAGGCATTGTTTGAGACTTGATTCTGTTTTCCCAGCAGAGGCCCCAAGGGTGGAACGGCAGCTCTGGGAAGACGCACCTTCTCAGACAGGTTTTCCTCTCATTAGTGGCACAGTTCTAGGTACGGACTGCTCTTCATGAATATCACCTAAAAACCGTTTCAGAAAGACCAAAACGAACAAACAAAAACAATAATCCACCCCCCCCCCCCAACACACCTCATTGGATTCATATAAAGATGACCAAGTGGAGACAGGCAAGACTCGCCCCAACCAATATTCACCAAACCCGCTGTGTGAGTGATCAGCGCTCCACAGGAGAGAAGCGCAGCAACACTTCACAGCTTGGGCCACAACCGAAGCACAGCATCATCTCAAAAAGAAGCAGTAGCCGGGCACTGCCCACCTGGGCATGTTCAGGGTGCTGACACCACTATTTCACCACCATCGGGCGCTCATCCAGGAAGAAGGGAGATCAGTTACTATACTTTGTGTTCAACTCAATTACATGTTATAAAAGCAGCAGGCTGCCCGGGGCAGACATACGCAACTCTGTGCAGCCCTAGTTCTTCAGCTCCTCACCACTGCGCCCACCAATGGCACCACCACATCCACAGGCCGGTAGGGAGAGTCACTGCTGTGTTACCAGCCTGGACCAGGTGCTATTTGGGCTGGGCTACTCCTCTGCAGTGTTACTTTCTTGGTTTCTGGTGTCTTATTCTAACCATAAGGACTGAGTTCTAAATGGTACACACTCCAAGAATGTGTGCACGTGTTTGTATGTAAAGACAGACTGAGATGCATGGCCATCTAAAAAAGACTGACTTCAATGATTTATGGTGAAGTCATCATTTTAAGTAAAACATCATCATTGAAAATAAAAACTGAAAATAAGTATATGTTTATAACCATATTATTGATACAGTTACTATGAGGATTATAATGAATCATATTATGTTATTCTTACTTTACAAGCCATTTTCAACTAATCCACATCAGTCCTGGTCATCTTTTAAAAAAATAGATATAGTGCTTTTCTTAAAGGTGTTAAAATATTTTGAGAAAATGCTTTTAGTATACAATGAATGTTAAGGACTTCAAAAGTGAAATAATTTAAACCCTTATATAACTTACATTTTAGTCATCATTTAATTTGCAATAATAAAACATTTGATAAGCACTAACTATATGTAGACTTTACATATATTATTCCACTGAGTTTTCCTAGCAATCCTTTCAATAAATACAATCATTAGCCCCATTTTCACATGAGGACACTGAGCTTTGGAAAGTAAAGAAAATGGAATTCAACGAAGGTCTCTATGACTCCAGAGTCATTTTTATTCTTATTACCTCAGTTTCCCCCTAGAAACACAGTCCCTCTTTGAACTCCAGTCTTCTTGATTTTAATTTGCCTCGCCCTTTGCAGCTGCTTTGCTCAGGTCTGGATTCTTGTGTTCCCCACCTGATGATTGAAGACCTGCTCCAAAACCTAATGGAGGCATAATGCTGCCACCTATCTGATTTCAAATATGGCCACACCTGGTCTCCCTCTATTCCATCAAGGCCTTTGAATGCCCTTGGTGTACCTAGGATTCATTTAAGCAGCTTATCCCCCAGCTAAAGTCCCAGAATTCGACCAGTTCTCTTAGCTCTGGTCCTATCCAGGCTTCATGGTATCCCTTTTTCTCCTAACCATTGCCAAGGTGTGACTTACACCATGTAAAGAGCCAGTCCAAGCTTGAATAGTACCTGAATGAGAGAGATCTGTTAGTACTGCTCTGGGGAGTCCTCTATGTAGGCAAATATCACTTAATTTCAGAAGTGTTAGAGACAGACTGCAATGTGTCTGCAGATATGAACCAGGTTGATAAAAATGTTCGAAAACATGACATGTGAGAAACAGTTGAGTGAAACTAGGAAAGAAAGGAAAAGGAAAGTAAAGAAAAAAAGAAATGAAAGAAAAGAAAAGAAAAGAAAAGGAGAAGAGAATAATGATAAATATAAAAAGGAGGCCAAGAGGAAGAGGGATTTGATTGAGGAAGGGCTAACAAGGAATTTCTAAGATACTGGCAATATTCTGTTTCATAATCTGAGTAGTGAGTAATGGTGTTCATTTTATATTTTTTCTTAAAAATCTACATTTGTGTTTTACACATGCTTTTGTATATGAATATATATAAAAGGCTAATATGCAAAGTATCCCCTTGGGAGTTTGACCAGGAGATCTGGGAGTTCCATCCTTCACTATGGCATGCGCTGACCTCCAGCGGGCAGCACAGAATGAAGGAAGGCCCTGGCTAGCAGCTGGGGAAGGAAGGCCCCGGCAGGCAGCCCGAAGGCCCCATTTGGCTCTGATCACTATCCAGGCCTAATGACCCTACCCGTGCATGTATTTCGTGCACCAGTGTCTAGTACAATAATAAAAGTAAAGGACTTCTAGTCAAGATGGTGCATAGGTAAATGTGGTACCCAATCCTCCCATAAACACATCAAAATTACAACTAAACTAAAATTACAGATCTATCTGAAATCTAGCTGACTGGAAATCCTATAACTAAGGAATTTAAGAAGAAGCCTCATTGAGACTGGTAGGAGGGGCGGAGACACAGAACACATGTGTGGTGGATAAAAATGGGGAGGGATATCTTGGTTGTGAAGCCCCCACTTGAGGAGTGAAGGAGTCATAGCCCTACATCAGGCCTCCCAAAACAGAGTTCCAGTACCAGGGAGAGAAGTCCCCATAACTCAGGGGTCCTCAAACTATGGCCCGCGGGCCACATGCAAATACAAATATTGTATTTCTTCCCGTTTTGTTTTTTTACTTCAAAATAAGATATGTGCAGTGTGCATAGGAATTTGTTCATAGTTTTTTTTTAAACTATAGTCCGGCCTTCCAACGGTCTGAGGGACAGTGAACTGGCCCCCTGTTTAAAAAGTTTGAGGACCCCTGCCATAACTTCTGGCTGTAAAAACTACTGAGGATTTTGGCTGCTTGAGACCATCTGGGCACAAGCCACATTTTAACTGCATATGTGGCTATGGTATTGGACAGCACAGAATACAGAACATTTCCATCATCACAGACAGTTGTATTGGACAGTATTGACCTAAGTAGATCAGGGCTGTGTATTTTACAGTCCTGAAGTATCTTGTGCTTTTCTTTTAGAGCACTTATCAAAGTTAATACTGAATTAATGTCTGTCTTCCATACTAAATTATTGGCCCCATGAAGACAAGAACTGTGTCTATTTCACTTACTGGTGTATGTCCAGTGCCTAATATAGTACATGGCAAGTAATGGACCCTAGATAGATATGTGTCAAATGACAAATAAATGAAGTTATATTCTAAAACATACAAAAACTCTAGTCCATGGAATTTGGGGATCAGACTAGAAATATGATCAGTAGGATTGGGCATAGGCAAATACTTTTGCATTCAAGTTTCAGATCACTTTCTCCCTTTCTGAGTATTTCATTATCTTTCCTGAATTGAAGAGGACAAAAGTATCTACCTAGTAAGATTTGGGGACCTGGTACTTTGATAATATTACTAAAAGGATGATGTTCAACATATAAACATTTCACAATATATGTAAATCAAATCATCTTGTTGTACACCTTTAACTTATATAAGTGATGTATGTCCATTATTTTTCAAAAAACTGGAAATAAAACCATTTTATGTTGTTCTTCCTAGTCATGATCCATTTAAATATGTTGGTATTACTTATGGTATTCTTATAACAATTGAAAATTACTTAACGTCACCTTTTTAGAATCATGATCATTAATTTTTTATTTTGCATTGTAAGATGAGAGAGAGGTTAAAGAGTGCAATTTATTCTTTTATAAATTATGCAATAACATACTTTAAAAAGAATAAGTAGCCAGGCTGGCACAGAAATAGGATAAGTAAAAGACTCTTGAATAAAAATAAAATCAAAATAATCAATTAAATTATAGCTATCATGGTTAGCAATGGATTACATGTAAAGTTTGGGAATATTAGAAATATTGGTACTTGGTCATCATAATAGAGGGTGGAAACATTAGCAGCATGTAATATTGTTGCCCCTAGGCTGTCTGGAGCAGTGCTCTGATAGATGTGTTTTCACTGGGATTTAGCCTTAGTTAATATGTCCACATCAGCTTTATCTGCTTCTCCAAGGCTTTTCTGATGGCTCTCAACCAGGACATTGTCTTCCTTTCTTCGGGGCCTCTGGGAAACATCATCCTTGGGAACTACAGTTGCTTGGCGGGAAACAAAATTATGCACATCCTGCAGCTTCTTCCATAGCCACTCTGTCCTTTCCATCG